TTTTTGTTTTTTAATGTCTCTGTAAAGCACTTTGAATCACCTTGTTGTTGAATTGTGCTATATAAATAAACTTGCCTTGCCTTGCCTTGCCTAAACATTTCCCTCTAGTAGACAAATTACGGTAGAGCACTACACTTTCGCATGCTTGAGCTTTACAGACAAAATGACCGTTAACAAGCGCACATACCTGCAAAAGACATAGAACACACTTAACATGTGTCTTCTGGTGGTACCCGCAATTGTAGCTCCTACAATGTAAAACAAACGTCACAAAAAGCACAGAAAAACAATAAGTCCAAACACATTTCCAGCTATGCGCAGCAACCACTAGGGGGCCGGCAAAAGCTTACTGCGAAAGAGCATAAATACGTCAGAAACACTGTTTAACAGCAACCAGCCTTTGTTTCGGTTATGCAGTAACATTCTAACATCAATACAAACCTATATACATCGACATGTACAACTTATGTAACAACATTTACGCCAGAAACCATAATAATGTCAGAGCCTTTCATTACAGAACTTACCCTCACAGTGCAAACACGTCTTGTGAGAAACGGAAGCCTTAGAAGCTTCAGACGCCAGAGCGAGATCCGGTTTCTGGGTTTTCAAAATAAAATACAACAAAAATGATAAAATTCACACTTAAAATAATAATTAAGACCTGGTAAGTACATGTTTTTGCAGATGTATTTTTAACTCCATTACATCTGCATGGTCTGATTTGCACATTTACAAAACAGAAGAAGTCCAAACATGAACGAACTAATTGCCAAAAAATATATAAAGTTGCCAATTTGGGCTTTCTTTGGCTTTAAACCGGATGAAAGAAGCAAACCAAAGGATGTAACCAAAGCGGTGTGCCGCTTGTGCAGACTTATAGTGTGAGGAAAGGACTCAAACATGACTAACTTGCATAAGCATGTATGTGTTCACCATCCAAATGTTTTGGTTTTTCTTTCTGAGCATAGGCTACTTCCTTTCCTTTATGAGTTTGAGTAAATGAATCGCTGCATTTGGGCGCACTCTGAGGAGGGTGCATTTGCTCGCAGATGAAAGAGGGTGCTGTTAAAACAGCGCTATTATTTTTTCTCATGGGCAAATAAAAAAAATAAATCGCCCTTGTAAAAACTGTAGGGTTTTTTGCATAAGTCGATATATTCGTCCAATCGCCCAACCCTACTAAACAGCAGTAGTGTTTGTAGGGTTACTGAAGTTGGACTAGCTAATATATAATGATGTGCTACGTGATTGCTACCTACACAGCTATGTTAGCATAACACAGACACAGTGAAGCTGGCGGATGAACGCTAACTTTTTTCCCCACTCGATAAAAGTTAACGTGAGGGTTCCCGATGGTTAGGGACAAATGCAATCGCATTTACGAGTTTAGTCATTAATATGTAACTGCTCCTGAATATAATAATTACATTTCAATGCGACAGCTACACTGCCACCAAAATTACAAAGGATTTCTATTTACATGTGTTAAACAAAATTAAATCCTGTAATTTTTAATAAATTGACAATCAAACATCAACTTATGTTACAAAAAAATCACTTCTTAAATAAACTTATAGATCAAATATTATGGGTATGTTCTTAACCCTTGTACTACCCTTGTACTACTTCACTGTAGTTTAGACCCTTTAATTAGTACCACTAGTCTCTGAACTGGTCTCTCAAGAAATAGACTTGTTTTAAATGTTCACCTTTCTTTCCCAGATCCTTTTGTCCTATCTGGATCTTAACCTTCCGCACTAAACCATCATCATCTTCATTGGCTTCAACCACCCTTGCCAATTTCCACTCATTTCTTGGAATATTGTCCTCCCTTAAAATCACTACATCTCCAACCTGTACATTTTGTTTAGGAGTATGCCATCGTTGTCTTAAGCTAATGCTGGTTAGGTATTCCTTGCGCCACCTGCTCCAGAACAACTCTGTTAAATATTGCACCCTCCGCCACCTCTTCCTGGTGTACAAATCTTCTCTTACAAATCTACCAGGAGGGGGAAGTGGCACAGACTCTTTCATTGTGAGCAAATGATTAGGCGTCAAAGGCTCAGCACTTTTGGGGTCGTTGATCGTATCAGTAGTAAGTGGACAATGGTTCAAAATTTACATGACCTCGTCGAAGAAAGTTCTCAATGAGGTGTCATCTAACCTTCCTGTAGCTTGGGCTAGGACAGAACTCATGACATTCCTAACAGTCCGGATCTGTCGTTCCCAAATGCCTCCTTTGTGATTAGCTTCAGGAACATTCATTTGAAAGTCACATTGGTTTTTAGCTAGATAAGTAGAAATAATCTCCTTGTCTAATTCCAACAGACCCTTCTTGAACTTGTTCTTAGCTCCAACAAAATTTGTCCCTTGGTCAGAACGAATCTGTCTGACTGTGCCTCTGATTGCTATGAAGCATCTTAAAGCGTTTATAAATGCGTCAGTGGACAGATCCTCCAACATCTCAATGTGTACGGCTCTCGAGCTTAAACACGTAAACAATAGGCCATACCTCTTCCATTCCCTTCGACCTTGTTTTGTATAGAAGGGGCCAAAAACATAAACTCCAGTGTAGGTGAATGGGGTCGAAGGATCCACTCTGTCAAATGGCAAGTCAGCCATGCGTTGTTCTTCAGCCGGCCAACGCACTTTTCTACAATTGACACACCCTTTAATGTATTTGGCCACTACCTTACTGCCACTTATGATCCAATAGCCACTTTCCCTGAGTTTGTTCAGAGTTTGGCCTCGGCCTTGGTGTTGCGTTTTCTTGTGACAGTGGTCAAGAACGAGTTGTGTGACAATGCCTTCCTTTGGAAGGATTACTGGATGATTCAATGCAAATGATGTTGAGGACTTTCTCAACCTTCCTCCAACCCTAAGCAAGTTGTCTACCAAAATAGGATTTAGTTGATACATTTTATGAGTTTTTGGTAGTCCAGCTGAGTTTTGACTGAACCATTTGAGCTCTTCTTTAAAGGCTTCCCTATGTGCTGCCTGAAAGAGTACAAAAGCAGCCATTTGTCTTTCTTCTACATTAATGGGTCTTGGCTTGTCTCTCCTTGCAAGTCTTTTAATTCTTGCCACAACGTTAAGAACTGTATCCCAATTAGAAAATCTTGAGAACCTCTTAAGAAAGCTGTCTTATTCAAGGGCATTTGTCTTAAGGACCTTTACTTCTGGGTCCCCAATGAGAAAATCAGGGGAATGTTGGTTTGTAACAATTTCCCTTTCCCACAGGAATTTAGGTCCAGTGAGCCAATTCGAGCTTAGCAGATCTGCCACCTTGAGGCCCCTAGACGCGTGATCAGCTGGATTTTGATCAGATTCAATGTAAAACCATTGGTTTGGATTAGAGATGGCACGATACCACTTTTTTATGTCCGATACCGATA